GCATAATTGTATTTAAATCTCATAGCAATTCCATGATATGAGTATTACTGTTTTTATCTTACAAATGAGAAAACAGAGAAATTGAATAACTTATTCAAAAATACATATTTTTTTAGTGGAAGAGTCAGAATTTAAACCTCAAGCATTGCAACAAGTAATACGTTCCTATATTTTAAATGAGATGACCAAACAATAATAGTCAAGAAAATATAAACAGAGATATTAGCAAAACCAAAGCAAGTACCTGAAATGTAATTTAAATTTACATTTTCTGTATTCTCCTTGGCTGTCTGAGACAGTTTTCATTCACTAATTACAAATCTTTGTGAATATTATGATAAACCTTGATTTTTAATGAGGTGTCTTTAAGTATATGAGTGACAATATGAGTTTCTTTGCTGTAATAAAAACTGATCACTTTTTGGGATAATCTACAGAACATAAAAATATATAAAACTACCATTTATCAAATGCTTACCATCAGTCAGGTATGGCAGCAAGTATTTTATATACCTAAACTCATTTATTTTTCATGACTGTGAAGTATGAATTATATCCCTCTCTTACACATGAGGAAAGAAAGCTTTGAAAATGATGTACTTTTCACAGCTAATGCTACGCATACGACTAATAAATGGCAGAGCTATGATTTTAACTCTGGCTGCTTTACTGCCAGAGCCTGTGTTCTCATCTACATGTAATTTTCTCTTTCTGCTTATTTCATTACATGTATCATTTCGTATTTTCTTAGTCACTGCACAAGGATAAAGGCTTGTCAAAATCTTTGTCTTAAGGCAAAACAGGCTCTCTGAAGTGAAAAGGAACTGTATCTAGAGTTTACATCACACTTCATGTTCTTTTGTAATTCTCCTTCTTCCTGCCTTTCCCTTTTCCAATTTTTCATAAAGCTGTCTCTCACTGAGTTTACAAAGGACTGGGGTCCATGCCATGAAAACAATATTATTCTTCTTGCAGTGCCAAAAATTCACTCAAAAAGGCTTTCAGTTCAGCTGGCCCTCTGCGATAGACTTAAATAAATCTTCAACTTTGGCATCCCATCAAGGACCGATTCACGCGGATCTCCGTTCTGATGTCTCCCTTTTCATCTGGCAACTGCTGACTTTTTAAAGGGTCTATTGTCTTTCTTCTGATTGTATTAAACAAAAAATCTCTGAAGCACTCAGTACTAGGGGTTAGAACTCTGAAAATTTTCTCATGAATGAAGAAGACTCTTGGTCTTTCAAAGGGCTATTTATAATATTAAAAACATTTTTATGTCACCCCAAAGCAGTAGGGATTACCTGGCATTGAAGCTGTCACCAGGAGCTTTACCTCGCACTGCTCCTTCTTCATCGTCTGCTTGAGATCCTTGAAGAAGAGGCCTTCCACGTAACCCACCACCTCCCACAAGAATGTCAGAGTGGCCGAAATGGCATCCATCCCCCATTCGCAGGGGGTCCGCACAAAGTACATGATTAATCCCACCTAAAAGTCAGGACAAGAAGAGTTCACAAAGCCACAATAATCCTGGGCTCACATTCTCATTTCCTTGGCTTTTCTTTTTTAAAATTAAATCTTCTGTGCCTTCCTATTCTCTGTTCAAATGCTTCTCTGACATTCTCCATGGCAGTAACCAGGAGATGGCGCAACTGGAAAACTGACCACATAGGCTCTTGTACATTTTTAAG